GACACCCCCCATCATTCTTTGAGCACTTCCTTCACAACACAATGGTCTGGGCAACTTTGTGCTTTTCCTAGAATCGGCTGTTTATTTCTCCAGGGTCCCTTTTAGTAGAGAACAGTGTTTAGAAGCCAAGGTCTCAGCACTAGGTGTGCTGACTACTGGGTGTCACTGCTCCTAGGCCCTCTCAGCGGACAGACCTTTGAATCTCTATTTCAGTCACTTTCTCTGTGTCGTTAGGCAGAAGTTCACGCCAATAGTTTCAATTTGGATTCATTATTACAATAGCTTTTCCCCTTTTTGTATTTGTTCCATCAGAGAGAAACCTGGCTCCATCATCCGCAACATATCTACCTGTTTGCCCCCTGCCCGTGCCTTGCACGTGGCCGGTCTCCCGACCTCCTGCCCAGCCCCCCTGCTCTGACGCTATTCTTGCCCAGGCCTCTGTACTGCTCCCCTCAAGGCTGCCCAGTGATTTTTTGTTTTTACTTCGGTAGGAAGAGCGAAGGACGCCACCCTCACTTCTTAACTCCTTCGTCCCAGAATGAGTGCATATCACTCCTGCTAATATTCCTTTGGTGAGAACCTGGCTCCACCTAGAAGCAGGGGGTAGGGTGGGGTGGGAAATGCAATCCCTGCTGGGGCAGATGCTTCTCAGCAACACCCCAACACCACAGAAGAGGAGAATCGCCCTTTATAGATAGCAGGTTGGCTCTGCCAAGCTGGGTGGTGGTTTATTGCTTGCTGCTTTTTGGCTAGCAGGGAACAAAGACTCACTCCTATTACCTAAGTATGGTAGAGTTCACTGTTCACACCCACCTGGGCAGGTGCCAGAAAGGTCCTTGACCTGGGGAAGTTCTAGGGGCCACGGAGGCCACTAGGTGCTGACTCAGCACCCCTATTGGCTTTGTTACTCTCTTCTGCCGCCTCTGCTCACTGGGGGTCCCTCCTTCCTCATAACTGCAGTGTGCACTTGGCCATCCAGATCTTGTATCTCTAGCTCTTATGATCACATGTACCATGATCGGATTTCCTATAGAAATGTCCAAGGGAGCTAATATCTAATTGGGCCTGTGTTTACGGGACAGGAGCAGAGTGGGGGCCTACAGGGGGGCTGAGAGTAACAAGCAGAGGCCAGGAAGAAAACCAGGGAGGCATAAGACCTAGATCCCCAAGGCAGACACTCGTTAGCCCCTCACCCACATCTGCTTTCTGTTCTTGGGCATTCATTAGACTGCATTTCGTGGCCTCCCACAGTGAGGTGTGTCCATGAGTTCCAACTCATGGAGTGAGAGCAGAAGGGAGGTGAAACCCTGCTAGGCCTGCCCTATAAGAACCTTCCACCTGGCCTCCTCAGAGCAATTGCCCCCCACCCTGGTAGGAACGGAGGCGACCCTAAAAGAGACCTTAGAAACCCTGTGTTGAAGATGGCAGAGCCTGTTAGCCTGCTCCCTGGATGACTAGGTACAGGGGGACAGCCTCAGTAACCAGTCCCCTGGCCTGGAACTGATATTCTAGCAAGAAATGCACCTCTGTTGTATTTGAGCCATTCCATTTTGGGGTCTATTGGCCACAGCAGCAGAACTTACCCTCACTAACACAGTCTTTCCGTAGGTGGGAGCACTATACAAATCCACATGTTGGGGGAGAGAAGAAGAAACTGTCCTTTGCAGCTTACAAATGTGGCTGGAACCCATATGGAAAAGGAGAACATTTACCAGGCTCTTCAGAGTCGAGGGTTGCCACTTCTCAAGCGGGGACACTGCCTCTGTTTCCCTGGGCTCCTGAGCTGACCTCAGTGCGCTGGAGTTCCTTAAGCCCTGGGAGGCGGCAGTAAAAGCCACTTGTTGCCTGTCAGGGAATGTCCTCAGACCTGGCTGAGCTCATTAGGCCTGAGAGCCAGCAACTCTTCCTCCTGTAAATTCTGTAATGTTGGACAATCTGCCTGCTGTCCCCACTTACCCAAGTTCGACGGAATGGACTTGCCAATGTCTCGGCATCCCAACCTACTACCTCTGGCACCTGGAAGTTCAAAGACAAAAGCCTTTTGATAGGCAGCAAGCCCTGATTTTCAGTTCCAAAGCTATCGGTGGTACCGCTGGGTGGGAAGAGGGCAGTGATGTGCCCTCAGCTGCCTGGGAAAGGGCACAAGAGGGGTTGCATAAGATCCTGTCCCCTCTCCTGGATTGAGGTGTCTTCTGGTTGCTAAGAATGTGTTGAGTGACAATCAGAAAGCTTTCTTGATTTTCGTAGTTTGAGACAGATTCTTAGAGATGGGCCACACCAGCCCTGCCATGCCATGCCTGAGCTCAGTGCTGGCCACCCCACACCTCTGTCTCCTCCCTTCCAGCTTTATCTCTGTACTGAGCTTTTTTTGGAGTCCTTCCCTTGCACCCGGCCAGGTCCTACACAAAGCCTGCCTTCACCTTCCCAAGCCCCAGAGCTGTCTCCCTGCCCTGGGCATGAGGTAGCCTCTCCATTCACCTCTCTAAGTCACATGTTACTGGGCACATGCCCAGTAAATGTCCCATGTTTGCTTGACACCACAGTGGAGACTCTCTGCTTTGCCTGCAGTGACCTCTGGCTCCCTTAGGGAGGATGGCCACTGAGGGATTTCCTGGCGGTAGGGTCATGGTTCAGACCTCCATTCAAGGCCCAGCTCCTCTGCTGAGTCACTAGCTGAGTGTTTGTCTAAGCTTCTTAGTTTCCTAAGAAGCCTCAATTTTCCTCACCTGCGAAATGGGGTAATAAAATTTACCTTGCAGGACCTTTGTAAAAAATAAACTTGAGAAGGCATCCAAAGCACTTTTTTTTTTTTTTTTTTTTTTGAGACAGAGTCTCACTTTGTTGTCCAGGCTAGAGTGAGTGCTGTGGCGTCAGCCTAGCTCACAGCAACCTCAAACTCCTGGGCTCGAGTGATCCTTCTGCCTCAGCCTCCCGAGTAGCTGGGACTACAGGCATGTGCCACCATGCCCGGCTAATTTTTCATATATATATCAGTTGGCCAATTAATTTCTTTCTATTTATAGTAGAGACGGGGTCTCGCTCTTGCTCAGGCTGGTTTTGAACTCCTGACCTTGAGCAATCCGCCCGCCTCAGCCTCCCAAGAGCTAGGATTACAGGCGTGAGCCACAGCGCCCGGCCTGGTAGGATTATTGCATCAGAAATGAATCATTGTGGCCCAGGCATGGTGGCTCACGCCTATAATCCCAGAACTCTGGGAGGCTGAGGTGGGAGGATCGCCAGAGTTTAGGAGTTTGAGACCAGCCTGACTGAGCAAGAGTGAGACCTCGTCTCTACTATAAATAGAAAAAATTAGCCAACTAAAAATATTGGAAAAAATTAGCCGGGCGACATGGCACATGCCTGTAGTCCCAGCTACTCAGGAGGCTGAGGCAGGAGGATGGCTTGAGCCCAGGAGTTTGAGGTTGCTGTGAGATAGGCTGACTCCACGGCACTCTAGCCCGGGCAACGAAGCAAGATTCTGTCTCAAAGAAAGCAAGAAAAATGAATCATTCTGGTTGCTTTGGGCAAACTAATCTGCAACATAAAATATTTTACCGAATTAGCTCGATCCTCATAGCTTGCAATGCACTGACTTCCAGATCATTGTCTTGCCTCTCGGTCTTTCTTTGTACACCCAGAGCACACTTCCTTCCTCTTCGCCCAGAGCTAACTCTAATCCTTGGAGAGAGGTCTTGCCACTCTTTCGCCCCCGATCTTTCTTACTGCAGTTGGTGATACATGGTTTTTCGTATTTTTTTCCGGTGGTGTTAACATCTGTCTTTTCCCAGACTGTCGCCTCCACAAGAGCAGAAACCGTGTCCGTTTTCTTCTCCATTTGATACCCCGAGCGCCAAGCACACTGCCCGGCATGAAGTAGGTGCTCAGCCGGGTTTGAGGACTTTTAATATCATGTCCGCGCGTGAAAGGCGGCTGGCGACGCGCCCACGGTGGCGCAGCCAGTGTGCGGGGAGCCGCGCGCGCAAGCCTCGGCGGCAGGAAAGGTGTCTCCCAAAAAGTCGGGCGGACACTTGGAGCTGAGTGGCTCCGGCGAGGCTGGGGCGTGGCGGCTGGCAGGCGCGGAGAGGCGACATTCGGCCCCCGGAGGCATTTGGCCTTTAAGGTCCGGGGCAGTTCGCTCGCGGACAAGGTCATCCCGCGGGCGGCTCGGGACCAGCCCCGCGCCCCGGGCTGGCGGCTGCAGCTCCCCGGGGGGCGCCGGGCGCGTGGCCGCCGGTTGGGGGCGGTTCCGGCGCTGAGTCACGCCCGCCGGGGAGCGCCTGGGGCCGGGCCGCTCCGGAAGACGCCGGCCGAGCCGGGGCTGGAGCGGCCGCGCGGCGGGCAGGTGAGGTTGCGCTCTGCGCGGCTGCCGAGGCCCCGGCGCCCCGGCGGGACAGGGGCCGGGCAGGGCGGGCAGGGCGGGCGCGCGGACCAGGGCCCGGCGGACGCCGCGGGAGGTCGGAGCGTGGAGCTGTGGCGTTGGGAGCGGCGGGCGGTCGCCCCGGATGCGCGGCTCCGGCCTGCACCGCCCTGTGTACTCGGGCGCCGCGGGCGGCGAGACTCTCCACCCTCCCGTCGGCCCCTAAATCCCTGCTAAGTCTTCCCGGGAAAGATGGGCTCTGGCGGGGCAGAGCAAGCGGGACGGAGGGAACGGGCGGGCGGGGTAACTCCGAGCTTGGGAGGCTGCGAGCGGGAGAGGCTGCCGAGCGGTCCGGAGTGAAGCCGGTATCAGAGGGCAGGGGGAAAACCCAGGTCTCTAAGAGGAAAGGCACTGGGATTACCCGGGGGCCCATAGACTTGGGGGTGCACAAGGAGGCCCGCTTCTCCCCTCCCTGAAGCCCGAGGTCGCAGGGGTGGCTGAAGTAGCTGTGAATGGACCCCTGAAATCAGCCAGGAACTGAATTAGTGGGTGGTGTTGGGCTTTCCTTCCCACTCAGCACACCCCTGCCCTTTCCTCCAGCAAGTCTCTATGACCCTAGGAGCCAAGGTGAGGGTGGGGAGGGTAAGGTCGCTTGGGAGCTGATGGTCCCGCGGGAGGACAGGCGCAGGGCAGAGGGTCAGACATAGTTTGGGAAGGGACTTCCAGGTTTCCAGGCTCCACAGGTGTGTCAAAGGCCCGTGTGAGGTTCTAGTGTGTGCGCATGCACTGGGGAGCCCCAAGCTCTCAGAGCCCACCTGTCTTCACCCCAGCGTGAGAGAGGAGCTCTCCAAGGAGCACTGCGTGGAATCACAGATCCAGAGCACCTCCATTTCACCCAGGTGGACGCTGAGCCCCAGCCAGGGTGGGGCCTTGCTCAGGACTACCCAGCCGGAAAGCGATGGAGCCGGGCAGTCGGGTGTGCTCCAGGGCCAGCCTGGCCTTTGTCTGGTGGTGAAATGAAGGCAGGGTCAAGGTGCACGTGGTGGGCAGACCATGGGGGTGTTAAGGGTCCCACAGAGTAACTGGCTCTGAGGAGGACAGCCGAGTTGCTTGGCCTCGGTTTTCAGTACAGGAGTGTTCGTGACACCCAAATGAACCTGTCAGCCCAAAGCTGCCCTCTCCTGGGGCAGCAAAGGAGACTGCTACCTCTTCAGACTTTGAGTCCCTTTCAAAAATTGGTCTTTTTTGGATTACATTTAGTGTGTGTGTTCCCCGGGGAGCCAGCCATGGAGTGTCCAGGGAGCGGGGCCACCTGCCCCTCTCCCTCCCCCTGGTGGAGGGGGGACATTCGTCCTGCTTTTTTTTTTTCAGACAAGGTCTTGCTCTGTCACCCTGGATAGAGTGCAGTGGTGTCATCATAGCTCACTGCAACCTCAAACTCATGGAGCTCAAGCGATCCTCCTGCCTCAGCCTCCTAGTAGCTGGGACTATAGGCATGTGCCACGATGTCTGGCTTTTTCTATTTTTTTTTTTTTTTTGTAGAGATGGGGTCTTGCTGTTGCTCAGGCTGGTCTTGAACTCCTGACCTCCAGCGATCCTCCCGCCTCAGCCTCCCAGAGTGCTAGGATTAGAGGCATTTACAGGCATGAGCCACCGTGCTTGGCCTCCGTGTGCTTTGAGTCACGATTTAGTGGCCTTCTGATCCAAGACGGCCACTCTGAAAACATGGCTCTGCAGAGGGCTGGTGTTGAAATCTGCCCTCTTTGCAAGCCGTGGAGACTCAGAAAGCTGCATGCTTTGGAATCTTTATGAAGCAACACTGGGGCAACATGCTTGCTTTAATCAGAGCCCGAAAGGTTTCTGCTGTGTGCCTTCTGAGGCTTGAACTCTCAACAGCTTTGGCATGGATGTAACTTACTCTTATTTCAGTAAATTCCTAAAGGCCCCTTACTGTTAAAGAAGAATCCCCTGGGATCAGCGGGATCAGGCTGGTGTCCTTGTCAGAGAAAACAGGGTTGACTGAGCAAATTGACGGGTGTAAACCAGACGGTGTGTGTTGGGGCAGGGGGCAAAAGTAAAATGACGTAGGAGTTGCTGGACAATCAGGGTTCGTTCTGTTCTCGTGGGCCTTCTATTCAGCTGACATTCCTAGATGTGGGCCGATGTATTAAGATTCTCTGTGCTTCCTCCCTGGGCTGTGATGTTCAGTTTAAAATTAAATGGTAGGTTTGGCAGTTCCTCAAAAAGTTAAACCTAGTGTTACTATATGACCAGGAAATTCCATTCCTAGATATATAACTAAAAAGAATTGAAAACATGTGTTCACACAACAATTTGTACACAGATGTTCATAGCAGCATTATTCACAATCGCCAAAAAGTGGAATCAACCCAGATGTTCAGCAGCTGACGAATGGATAGAGCAAATGTGGTGTGTTTGTACTATGGAATTTACTCAGCCATACCAAGGAATGAAATACTGATGCATGCTACAGCACGGATGAACCTTGCCAACATTGTGTTAAGTGAAAGCCAGACACAAAAGGCCACATGTTGTATAATTCCATTTACACAAACTGGCTAGAATAGGCACATCCGTAGCAACAGAGTAGATTAGTAGTTGCCAAAGGCTGGGGTTGGGTGGGGCGAGGGGAGTAACTGCCAATGGGTACAGGGTTCATTTTGGGGGTGACGAAAATGTTCTGGAATTAGATAGTAGCGATGGTCGCACTACTTAGTGAATATACCCAAACCCACTGAACTTACATTTTAAATGGTAAACTTTATATGGGAATTATATTTTTGGTTTTAAAAAAATTCCATGGTGAGAGACCTGTCCTGTTTTTAAAGCTTTATTATTTGTGCAAAAATGACATTTGTTTGAAAAAGAATTCAAACAATACGAAAACACTCAAGAAAATAAATACATCATCTGTATGACTGCTGTTAGCATTTTGGTTTAGAGAGCAGGTTGGAGCTGTTGAGGATTGAATTTGGGCAAGTTACTGAACTCTTTCCTGAAACAGGGAGAAAAACCCAGGAAGATATGGGTGAAAGTGCAACAAATGCTGCCTGTAGTGCTCATTACGTGTGTGTGTGTATGTGTGTGTACCTAGGTGCGCGTGACTTATTGCCCACAAACAGGACTAGGGTCTACATGTAGATCTATTGCCTGACTTTTTCATGGATGGACTTTTCTTGTAAAAACATAACTTACCCTTAAAAAATGGCTGGCTACAGAATATTCCATTGTATGGGTGTATCATCGTTTGTCCTGTGGTCTCCCATGGATGGAGTTTCCAGTGATTGACGGGGTCTCACAGTGAAGTTGTGTTGCCACCCAACCGGGTTCATATTATGCCCGCCGCCCAATACGCTGAGTCAGCAGGTTTCATGGCCGAGAAAGAGTTTTATTCTGCATAGCGCTAAGTGGGGAGACGGGAGAAATTTCCCAACTGCACTTCCCCGAGAATTTGGGAGACAGAGTTTTTGAAGTCGGTTTGGTGTAGGCAATTGGATCTGTTAATTGGCTAGGTTTGGGGTGGAACCATATAGGGTTGTAAACATTGTCTTCTTTGCTGATCAGGTTCTAGGGTGGGGGTCACAAGACCAGTTGAGTCAGTTCCTTGGGCCGCTGGTCTGCAGGACTTGAGGATATCTCAGAGACTACCCTTAGGTTTTAGAAAGGTGGTGTTATCTACGGAGAAAGCTGAGAATCTTTATGACCACCAGCTGTGTGGCTCGGAGTGGCAGTTACAGAGAAGCAAACAGGGGGACAGTGGCTAATTATTATTATTATTTTTAGATAGGCCCTTACCATAGCTCGCCTTGTAGTTCACCTTTTTATTAATTTGCGAGGGCGGTTGCAGTAGTTTGTCAGCACGGCTGCTGTGTTAGAACATGTGCTGGAGCACCCATTAATGCCTTACCTGCAGGTTCAGCCCCGCCGGGGCGTGTGGCTGGAAGTGCAGGTCCGTGCTTAAGCCCCTGGTGTAGGTGTCCGGCAGAGCGCGTCATGGCCCACCAAAGGGGAGTCTGCTGTCCTCGGGGACCTGGCAAGAATCGGCAGTGGCAGCACCAAGCAGAGTCAGCCTGCCCAGGGTGTGGGGCAAGGGGCTGCTGAGGAGGAAGGGGGACTGGCCAGAGAGTCCCTGGCCTCCCCGTTCTGCTTATTTGTTTGGTGTCAGAGGTCAGCGGAGGAGAGAGAAGAGCAGGTTGCAGGAGAGGCCTCGGGCCCAGTGCAGTGTGACAGCGCCTCCCCTCCCTGGCCCTGCCCTGGTGCCCCTCTCGGGCCTAGGTGTGCCCTCCGGCCCCAGACCCCCATGGTGCAGCGTGCCTGCAGAGGCCAGGGTTTGCCCTCTGGGGAAGCAGGTTGATGATCCTCAGGACTGGGGAGTGGTTAGGGGCTCAGCTCCTGTGGCCAATTCACTGCCCTTTAGGCCTGCCCTGGGGCTGCCGGGGCTCGTATGTCCACATGGTTGTTAAAGCTGCCCTGGTGTGACAGGCTGTCTGTGCTGCCACATGGTTGTTAAAGCTGCCCTGGTGTGACAGGCTGTCTGTGCTGGGCCCTGCCGTCTGCACTCCTGGCCTCCCCACCTTTCTGCCGCAGTGTCCTGAGCTTCTCCCACCCCCACTCCCTTCCTGCCGCTGGGCCTCTGGCCTAAGTTATCCCTCTGCCGGGAAGGCTCCTGACCTCGGCTCTTTTTCAGGACTCTAGTGTCTCCTCCTTGAGTGTCCCTGAGTGGTGCAATGTGACCGGACCCACAGTGGACCCCCCTGCCCCAGCAAGCTATGTAGCCCCTCTCGGGACCCGAACATAGCCAGCCTGAAAGTGGGGCTTTCTGGGTGTTTACTTGACCTCATCTCTAGCTGCCAGTCCCAAGGGCAGGGCCCAGCACAGAGGGGGCCGTGCGGGACAGGGCAGGTGATACACAGCCTGCCTCAGTGCTTCCTACCTTCCTGGGCCCTGAGCCCCTGGTGTCCACTCCTGCCTCTGGCTGGGCCCCAGGAGACGGTCTCCTTCTGGCCCAGTTGGCAGATTCAGCCTGACGCGCACTCAGGGATCAGCTCTGGACAGCCCTTCTGAGGGCCTGGAGCACTGAAGGTGGCCCTGCCTGCTGGGGCACTTGTCCTGGGTCCCAGCCCTGCCTCCTGTAAAACAGAATGTCCAAGCCTCAGTGCATCGGGGACCGTACGGCCAACGAGAAACGACGTTAAGTTCCCTCCAGTCCTTTACACGTGGCCTGCGTTTGCGGTTCCCCACGAATGTGCACCCCATTTCTCGTTACAGTCTAACCTGCCCAGCTCCACGCGGGATTTATGTTATGATCCTTGTCCTGTGACTTTGCAAGCGCGGCCTTCTTAAGGGCAGGGACCACATCTGCCTGTCTGACCACCGGATCCACAGCGCAGAGCGTGTCGGAGAGCAGGAGCTGAGTACGTGTTTGTTGTTGGGTGAACATTACTCCCCTCTTCAAAAGTCCTTGATGAAATACAGTGAGTAAAAAAGAAGTACAGAAGTTTAACGTGTGCACAAAGCAATGACTGAAGTAGTCATGGTTGAGTGTCTCTGGAAGGACTCCTACAAACCTGGCGACAGTGGATGCCCTGGAGAAGGGAACTGGGTGGGTGGGGGATGGGGTGGAAGCGGGATAGTCCTTGTTCCTTCTGAATTTAATTCTAATTTTGCAGAATTGGAATTTCATTAATAAAAGGTTTACCTGATTTGAAAAGGCCAGTTGGTGGCACCGGAGGCCTTTGGCTGTGGGTGCCCCTGCCCTCCCTGCCCCTGACTGTGGTGTGTTCTCCTCTCCCGCCCTGGCAGCGCCTGGTTCAAGATGGGGTCCCAGGTCTCGGTGGAGTCGGGAGCTCTGCACGTGGTCATTGTGGGCGGGGGCTTCGGCGGGATCGCGGCCGCCAGCCAGCTGCAGGCGCTGAACGTCCCCTTCATGCTGGTGGACATGAAGGACTCCTTCCACCACAACGTGGCAGCCCTCCGGGCCTCCGTGGAGAGCGGTAACTTGCGGCTGTCCGGGGCATGATTTCGGGGCTGGGGTGCTTTTCTCCACTTAGGGCAAGGCACCTGCATCCCACCATTAGACAAGTTCCGGAGACCCTCAAGGTCACTGGTCTTAAGCAGCTACCATAGTGAGACCCCGAAGTTAGAGCTTGAGCTTCTCGGAGGGGCTGAGGCCCAGGTGGGCCCTGCGGAGGGTAGTGGGTACCCCAGGGGTACCTGCCGGCCCAGCTCTTTGGCCAAGGACGCCCCTGTTGGTGCGCAGCTCAGGAAGGGTTCTGACTTCCTCTGGCTTCCTGTGGGCAGCCTGGTTCCACGCTGTGGCCTCTTCTATGTCCGTTCCCCAGGGTTTGCCAGAAAGACATTCATTTCCTACTCAGTGACCTTCAAGGACAACTTCCGGCAGGGCCTGGTGGTCGGCATAGACGTGAAGAATCAGACGGTGCTGCTGCAGGGCGGGGAGGTGAGTGCCGGGCAGGGGTGACCCGCCGTGATCTGGCTCTGGAGGGCCTGGCAGGTCTCCCCAGGGGTCAAGAGAGCTGTCCCTGTGACCCCAAAGCCCCACCTGGTGCTGGGCAGACAGCAGATTCCTCATAAACAAAAGGCTGGACCACAGCAACCACAAGGACATGGTGGCAGATACTTCTTGCGTCTTTCCTGTATGCCAGGCACCGTCTTCAGCCTTTACGTGAATCTCATTTAATGTTCACAGTGCCTCTAGGAGGTAGGCGCCCTAACCGCCTTTTACAGAGAGGCTACAGGGCAAACTGTGTATCCCCGACCCTGTGTGTGTAGCTTGGTGCCTCTACTGCCTGCAATGACTTGAGCTCCAGCAGTGAGCTGCCACCACCCCAGATGGGTGTCACCTCCAGCCCAGCCCCTGGCTGGTATCCCAAGCTAAGGGGGGATTGAAAAAGCAGAGACACGTTCTTATCCTCAATGAGTCTGTGACTTGGTGTGAGTCAGTCCTCCTTGAATTAATTTTAGGACTGGAGAATTTCCTTGTTGAAAAAATTCCTGGGTATCTCCTAGTCCTGCAGTTTCGGGTCATGCTTTTCAGAGCCCTGGAAGGGTCCGTGGGGGCCTCTCGGGGGTCCAGGTGGGAAGAGGGGGTGAGTGGAGTCAGACTCTCCGGCCCCTCCCATTGGAGCAGCTTTGTTTTTGTCAACGGTATGTATTTAGGCTCCACACAAGATTTCCTTTTCTTTCTTTTGTTTTTTTGGTGAGGGTAGGAGAAGGGTTCTTCCAAAATACCCAGGAGGTTCCTAACTAATTGCACATAGGAAGCTAGAATCCTGCGTATGCCCACAAACCGCCCTTTCCCGCCCAGCACCTGCTGTGGGGCTCGCTCCTCCCTCTCCCTGCGGGGGGCTCCGTTGCTCAGGTGTTGTCCAGGCAGGAGGTCACATCTCTTCCTTAGGTATAATGTTTCCCTGGGTTCTAGTGCCCTCGCTTGGCCTGACCGGTGCGGCGATTCTGCCTCCCTCAAAAGAGGGCTGCTCGGTGTGCCCAGAGCGGCTTCCTCACCTGGTGCTCCTTGGTCGGCGGGGCCCCCAGTAGGATGCAGCGGCCCAGGCCGCCCCTGGTCTGCCCTCATCTGCCTTCCTCTTGTCCCTCCCACCCAGGCCCTGCCCTTCTCACATCTCATCCTGGCCACGGGCAGCACCGGGCCCTTCCCGGGCAAGTTCAATAAGGTGTCCAGCCAGCAGGCCGCCATCCAAGCCTACGAGGACATGGTGAAGCAGGTGAGCTGCGTGCCGAGGTGTGGGGCAGCAGGGCCAGGTGGGTGGACAGCCGGGAGGCTGCCGGGGATGCAGCTGGGAGACCACGGAGGGGAGAGGTGGCTTCAGAGCTGCGGGCTGCAGCCGTAGAGCTGGAGAGTCACTAGGAGGAGACTTTTCCTGGGAGGAGACTTTGGACCTGCCCCTGAAGCCTGAACGTGAGCACCTGCTCATGTTGCGCTTGGTGCGTCCTCGGCTGGTCTGTCTCGGGGCTTTTCCTGTTCCTGTCCCTCCCGTTCACACAGGGCTCTGTTTTGTAGAGCAGGCTTAGATCCGCGGTCTCGGTCGTCACAGCAGTCCTTTGGGGTGGGTAGGAGGAAGCTGGTTTGGACCCCAAAGTTGGAAAGTATTCTCTGCCCTTCTTTGGCCAAGGAAGCCACACGGAGGGCTGCGCTGCCGGGCAGGGGTGGGTGTGTCTCACGTGCCCCTCTTCTCCAGGTCCAGCGCTCACGGTTCATCGTGGTGGTGGGAGGAGGCTCCGCAGGAGTGGAGATGGCAGCAGAGATCAAAACCGAATACCCTGAGAAAGAGGTGGGGCAGGCTGCCTTGATTTTGCACTCTGAGTGGTCGGCTTCTTTTCAGCATTCAATTTGCTCAGGGGCTGGGAGGCTGGAGCTCCACTCATTAAACTGGGAGTGTGCGTTTCCCATTTGGTGCCAAGGTGCCATTGTGCTGCTCTGGGTGTGTCCTCATTCAGTGAGAGGTCCTGCCCTCTGCTCCAACCAGGAGGATCAAGCCCAGGGGAGATGCCTTGCAAAAGCTGAACTTCTTTGTCTCCTGCAGAATTCAGGCCTTGTGATATAACTGTAGCTTTGATTACCTCTTCTTGCCATTGCAGGCTTGGACAAAGTGGGGGTGGGGGCGGTGGGGGGTGCAGCCCCTTGACTGCCCAGGCTAGGGAATGAGCGGTGTGGGGGTGACAGGAAACTTGCCCTTCCCCGGAAAGTTCACTGAAAGATCAACTCACAATTAAGGCAGATTAATAAGAGGAAGAGATTTTTTTTACTGTGCTCACGGGGAGACTCACAGTGACTACCCAGTACCCCAGTGGGATCCAGATATTTTTATACCTGTTTTTTTAGAGGGGAGTGGCAGATGAGGGGTATAGGTAATTCTGTTTAGGGGCAATAAATGGTTGCTAGGGAGGATAAATGGCTACTTGGAGAATGAATGGATGGGGAAAAACAGATTGGCTTGTAAATTAACCTGAGAGACTTGTTTGAAATGATTCGGGCCAGATCTGGTTGTATTCTTTTTGTTTGTTTTGTTTTTGAGACACAGTCTCACTTTGTTGCCCGGGCTAGAGTGAGTGCCATGGCGTCAGCCTAGCTCACAGCAACCTCAAACTCCTGGGCTCAAGCAATCCTGCTGCCTCAGCCTCCCGAGTAGCTGGGACTACAGGCATGCGCCACCATGCCTGGCTAACTTTTTCTATATATATCAGTTGGCAAATTAATTTCTTTCTATTTATAGTAGAGATGGGGTCTCGCTCTTGCTGAGGCTGGTTTCGAACTCCTGACCTCAGGCAATCCTCCTGCCTCGGCCTCCCAGAGTGCTAGGATTACAGGCGTGAGCCACCACCTCGCCCGGCCTCTGGTTGTATTCTTGATTTGCTTTCCTGCAATATAGTGACATAACAGGGAGGGGAAGTCCATGGTTCTTTTGACAGGTCAGTGAGTTTCATGCAGATAGAGGAACGCCCTTTCCAATGCCTTTTGATCTTGAAGAGCTTTTAATTCAAAATATTCTTTATACCAAGGAGTCATATTTTGGGGTGAAATTTCCTGAGCTCCTTCGGCGGCCAGCACTGCCTTTTGCCCATGGGTGTGTACATGTGACCAGCCTGCCCGTTGCCCGCCAGCGCTCCAGGCACAGAGAGCCTGCCTAGCAGCCTGGGGAGGACGAGGAGACCCTGGCATGCGGGCTTGGCAGCGGCTGAGTGACGATCGTAATGACGGGTGCTCCAGGCAAGGGCTTGCTTGCGGCCCATGCCAGATTGGCTTCTGAGAGCAGCCCGAGCCTGTGGATGGTTCTTTTTTCCCTAGGGCAAGGCAGGTTGGTTTTGAAAAGAAAGATCAATACGGGCTAATTTAATTATGGGGCTGTTCTCTGACGGATTGTTGGAAATTGTTATGAGTGATTGATATAGTTAAAGTTTATTCATTTGATTTATGAGGGGTGTGGAGGGAAAAAGCAAACTCTCCTTCTCTGTACTCACGCTCAACACTTCTGTGACGAGACGTGCGGGGTTTTTTTCCCCCTCCACTGACCAATTCTTTGACACTGTCTGGGTGTCCTATAATTGGATTCAATTCGGTTCAGTTCACTTCCATGCTGACACTACCTGGAGTTAGCGCAGACCCCACAAGACTGCCCCACTCAGACCCGAGTTGCCAGTTGTGGGTCCCAGCTTACCCACGCTTCTGTCCCACTCGGCACAAATGGGATGTTCCCAGGACCTCTCCGCGGGCGTGATGATGTGCTAGACCGGCTCGCAGAGCCCCGGTTACTTGCGAATGCTGAATTACTACAAAGGATGTTTTAAAGGCTACAAATAAACAGGCAGACGAACAGGTACGCAGGGCAAGGGGTGGAGGGGTCCTGAGCACAGGAGCTCCTGTCCCCATGGAGTTGGGGTGTACTACCGTTGGGGCAGATGGACACGTTCACCAACCGGGAAGCTCTCTGGACCCCGTGCTGTAGGGATCTTTATGGAGGCATGACTGATCCTTCGCTCAGTCTCCAGCCCCTCTCCCCTCCCTGGAGGATGGGGTAGGGCTGAGAGTTCCGGGCTTGCAACCATGGCCTGGTCTTGCTGGTGACCAGCCCCCATCCGGGAGCCCACCATGGGTCACCTCATTAGAACAAAAGCTGCTCCTCTTACCCAGGAAATTCCAAGGTCTTAGGAGCTCTGTGTCAGGAACCAGCATCAAAGACCAAAGACTAGAACAAATGATTTCTCCTGGCACCCCTTTTTACGAGAGTTTTAAGAGCTCTGTGTCAGGAAGTGGGGGCAGAAACCAGTATGTACACTTTTTGTTTCTTATTTCACAGGGGTAAGACCAGTCAGACGTAGTAAATTAGTTCAAGTAACTCAATAGAATGCCCATATGTGTATGATTAGTACACAAATAAGAGTAGTAGCAGCCACCTTTTATTAAGGACTTAATATGTGCTGAGTTACATGCTTTATACATATTTTCCTGTTCATCAGTACAAAATTTCTGTGAGTGGGACCATTGTGCCCATTTTAGTGAGCCTCCAGGAGGTGTCCGAGTGAGGAGCAGAGATGAGATTTCAACCCAGGCAGTCGGATTCCAGAGTCCAAGCTTTGAACATGATTGAAGGCTGCCTCCTGCTTCCTTGTCCGGGACAACAAGTAGACATGCCTGGAGGAGCGCTAATTTTAGAACCAGCTTCAATGTTGGCGTCAGCCTGATTTGCAGTTGGAATGTCAAATGGTTTATGTAGATTATATAATTGTCAGTGCCCAAGGATGCTTGAAAATAATTTTCCAGGTGGCCCTAGGGGAGGTACAGCTTGTGGTGCACTGGTGCTGTGGTGGTCCCCTGGCGCAGGGCAGCAGGGTAGTGCTGCAGGAGTGCTAGACTAGGACACGTGGGCGAAAGCCCGGCTCGCAGCTGACTGGTTCCAGCATTGGACAAATTACTTCTCTGGGGCCTCAGTCTCCTCATCTGTGACCTGGAGGCAGGGGAGGACATGGATGTTGATGTGAGTCCGAGACTCAGGGGCCCCTTCTCAGGCCCTGTGTGGTCATTTCGTCCCCAGGTCACTCTCATCCACTCCCAAGTACCCCTGGCTGACAAGGAGCTCCTGCCCTGCGTCCGGCAGGAAGTGAAGGAGATCCTCCTCCGGAAGGGCGTGCAGCTGCTGCTGAGTACGTGCAACCTCGCCTCCCTCCCCGCCCCTCCTGGCTGGTGAGATGTGGCTCAGGGGCTTGGTCACTGCCTCCAGCTGGAGAGAGCCACAGCCCCCCCAGCCTCTCTCTCTTCCACCGTATCCTGGGGTTGAGCACGAAGCACCTAAGAACAGCCACGAACATCAAAGCCCACGTGGGCCTTGTCCCTCGGGAAGTCGTGTCTGTTGCCGGGCAGGGCAGCAGCTCTGGTACTTAGGGGATTTCTTGCCATGTCTTGGAGGCAGAAGTATCCTGGCCGTTGCTTTGGACACAGTGCAGATTGTGAGATGCCTACTTGCTGAATGATTTTTTTTTTAAGTGCATCTAAAGGATTTGCCCTGAATTGTGATGTCTCTGTGGTAGAGGGAGCAGGTTCGTTGGTTTCTATTTTGAGAGTGGTGAGGAATATGGAGTTCCCTCTAGAGTAGGAGGGATGTGAACCACCCAGCACTTTAGAGAGGGGGGCTCTAACTCCATACAGTACTGCACTGGGCCTCGACCTCCTCCTTTTTTGCAGGGGTTGGGGGTGAGGCATCTGTTCCACTGAAGTCCCTCGTGTCTGTCACAGCCTCCTTTTGGTAACTGGTTGTAGAGCACTGTCACCACTTTACTTTCAGACAATGAATGTAGTGAGCTGGCTTCTCTGACGTCCTGGCTTTTCCCTTTGTCTGTGGTGTGCTTGGGTGTCTTGTCCTGCCTGGTTGGGATGGCGTAGCTGACATTCCAAGAGGCATGTCTGAGGTCTTCCGTTAAATAGCTTTTCCCAGAACTGCTTAGGAAACTCAGCCTCACTTCCCTCGAGTGGCCTCTTGGAACTTTCCTCCAGTTGGATCCCTCATGGCCAGGCATCCCGATTGGCTTCTCGGGGCAGTAGAGTGGACTGAGGGAGGGGCATGGAGTGGCATAACGGCCCAGTGGGGCCACGGCGGTCCAGGCCTTCCCCGGGGCCAGCCTTGGCTTGGGTCCCCGCCTGGATGGGGTGTGGGGGCCCTGCCTGCCTCCTGGTCACGGAAGCCCTTCGACAGGCGAGCGTGTGAGCAACCTGGAGGAGCTGCCCCTCAACGAGTACCGAGAATACATCAAAGTGCAGACAGACAAGGGCACGGAGGTGGCCACCAACCTGGTGATTCTCTGCAACGGCATCAAGATCAACAGCTCTGCCTACCGCAGCGCGTTTGGTAAGCGGGTGGCCGAGCTGTGGCCTCTGCCCCGGGTGCCTCCTTCGCACTCTCTGAGAACGCCCAAAGCCCTTGCCCCCAGGAATCAGCACCTCCCTGCCTTCCCCTTTCTCCCCAACATATCAAACTTTAAATTCAGGGCAGGCAGAGCTTTCCTCATCTGTGATGACGACTTCTGCCCTCTGGTGGTAAGAGATGGGAACAGGTTTCAGAGAGGTGAGAAAGACCCATTTTCTGTCCCTTCCTTCCTACATGGATGTGGAGGAGATTTGGGGTCAGTCCTTTCTTTGCTCACAGGTGTGCTGCTCTCCCCAAACCCAGATCCAAACATCTGGCCACCTGAGCTTGGAATGATCCTTCGGGGAGTGGAAGCAATGATGTGGCCTCGTTTCCTAAAGCTCAGTGTTTGACTGTGTAGCTAACTGGACGTTGGGCGGGGAACTGACGTGCGTTTGAGCTCCGTGAGTGAGCGGGAGACTCAGTAGCCAGGCCCTGTGGTTGCTTCGTGTCCTCAGGTCTCCATCATTTTCTCCCAAGTATCCTTGCCTGATAAGGAGCTCCTGCCTTGTGTCCAGCAGGAGGTAATGATCCAATCTCAGAAGAAGGCAGCCTATCCAGACCGAGTGTAGGCACGGGACTGAGGGCCTCTAATGGACAGAGATCCCAGAATTTAACATCTAAGGGTCTTCATAGTATATTTTCAAAGATAAGTTATTTTAAGCCCTTTTTAAAAAAGCAAGCAGTTTATCATATTTAAAAAAATCATAGGCCAGGCGAGGTGGCTCATGCCTATAATCCTAGCACTCTGGGAGGTTGAGGTGGGAGGATCGCTTGAGCCCAGGAGTTGGAGGTTGCAGTGACCTATGATGACACCGCCGAAGTCTACCCAGGGTGACAGAGCTGGACTCTGTCTCAAAAAAAAAAAAAAAATTCATATCTTGTATTTTCTGTTTGCTTAGCGTAAAAAGAAAAACAAAAAGAAACTTATCTATGTTCAAAAGTAAATTTAAGACTTGGCTAATCATTGTGACTTAGAAAGAGTTACGTGCATTTCTAAAGGGAGGCTCGTTGGTGTTTCGACCCGTTGCCACCCTGGAATCAGCAACCTTGTCTTTGCAGGAAGAGACTGAGGTGGGGACTTGAGGCAGGAATGAATTAGGCGGGAGGATCGCCGTGTGAGCGCACACCTGGGAGGGTGACCTGACCAGCACCTGTTGACCAGCACCTGGAGCTTGTCCTCACCTCCTTCTGGTGGCCGCTTACCACGGCGACTGAGGGTCTTGGTTTTGTGTCATTTCGCCCGGCAGAGAGCAGGCTGGCCGGCAGCGGTGCCCTGCGGGTGAACGAGCACCTGCAGGTGGAGGGCCACAGCAACATCTACGCCATAGGTGACTGTGCGGACGTGCGGGAGCCCAAGATGGCCTATCACGCCGGCCTGCACGCCAACATCGCCGTGGCCAACATCGTCAACTCCACCAAACAGAGGCCGCTCAAGGCCTATAAGCCAGGTAAGGGAAGCCCCAGGGGCTTCGCAGTTTTAAGAGTTTGGGGTTAGACGCTGGAAGCCTTTTGGGGCCATAAGATGCCTGACCACCAGAAGAAACTCTCCACGCTGGTGGCGGGAACACCCTCCTAGGGCTGTTTAAAAATAAACCAGAGCCTCACCCACCTTTCCTGAAAGCCTTACACGTTTCCTGGCCTGAGCCTGAAGGCCCCAGGCAGGGATTTCGCTCTGGGGTCGCAGGGTCTGCGTGTGTCTCTGCTGTCCCACAGGTGCGCTGACGTTCCTGCTGTCCATGGGGAGAAATGACGGCGTGGGCCAGATCAGCGGCTTCTACGTGGGGCGGCTCATGGTCCGGCTGGCCAAGAGCCGGGACCTGCTGGTGTCCACGAGCTGGAAAACCATGAGGCAGTCTCCGCCCTGACGGGGAGGCGACCACGCAGGTGAACAGGCCGCTTGACAGTGGGCACCCGGCTGGCGAGCGCTGAAGGGCAAAAGCTGTCGTTCTGGATTAAGATGTCAATGATGTACTGACCGGAAATGCGACTTGAGCAAAGCCAAAAGTGGTGGGGGTGGGGCGGGCAGGCAGGGGAGAGAGAGGCATTAAAAAAAAAAGGACTCCTCCCTAGAGGATTCTTTCTGGGTTTCAAAGATCTGCTTGCGGTTGTACCAGCCGAACGGCTCACGTGTGCTGGCTGAGTCGTCTTGGGGAGGCCACAGCCAGTCTCTGTGCCCCGGCTCCTCTTGGACGTGTGCACGTGCATGTGTGTGCGTGCATGGGGTGTGGCATCCAGAGCTCTCAGAGAGCCTGGCTCCCGGTGCCTGGCATCTGTCTGTGAGGGCAGGAAGGAGCCTCACTGAGAGACCAAAGGAAGGGGGCTGGGGGGGAGGTGGCCCGCACCCCAAACCTTTGCCATCGCGTGGAGGGGGAGCCCGTGCATTTGGCAACCACCAGGTCATTAACAGGAGCCTTATTTTAAATTCCCTAACTTGTGGTTGGTCCTCATGCTCCTCGTGCTTTGTGAACCTTTCTACATTTCCACTTTCAGACCCTAGCTACATACCATAGGTTACATTTAACGGGAGAGGATTCAACAAAGTTTCTCTCCTGGTTAACCCGCCCTAGCACAGAGTGAGTTTGTACAAAGCCAGCAGGGGTTCGGACTGCAGCCTGGCTGGCAGCTGCTGGAGGTGTGATCCTTTCGGGGGGTACAGAGACAGTTCAGCAGGTGACACCCCAGCGTATTTCCAGGTTACCATCATGGGCGAATCTGTAAGGAACAAAACTGCAGCTGGTGTTGAGGGGCAGGAATGGGGCTGTGAGGGACTTTGTGGTTTTGTGCTTCTCCTCCCTGGCCAACCCCAGGCTTACCTGTCTGGAGGTAACAATTGCCAGCCATGTGGCAATAACCTCTGCTACTGACTGTTAAGGTACACAAATGACTCTGTTTAGGAGAGATCTTCCAATAGGGAGCAGCCTGTTTGGGCCCACCTAGGTCAGACCCGAGCAGAAGTGGCTGATGAGGTCAGCTGGATAAATTCAGGCCCTGACCTCCTCACCTGCCCCTCCCTGCTCACTATGGTGGTGGCCTCTGGGCACTCAGGCAGAGTCCTTGGGACTCCAGTCTCACTGGAGTTCCCAGCCCATCCCCTATTTGGGCTGAGGCCCAGGGTCTGTTCCGTTGTGTCGCCCAGGCCTGAGTGAGACCCGTGCCTCTCTCCCAGAGGAGGGCTCCTTGCCAGTGGCTTTGTTCAAGGCTTTGTTCCTGTGGGCCGGGGCCACAGGCTCACCCTCCCCGGAAGCAGGACCTGCCGCCTGAGAAACACAGCCCCGGTGTCTGACCTGGAGCCACGTGTGGCGGGACTCTCAGCCTGTTAGTGACAGGCCTTGTTCTGTTTACTGGTGACATTCTAGATGGATCTACCCACGGGGACACAGTCTTCCAAACTGAGGAAAATGTTGCAATAAAAGCATATCTTGTAAGAAAGATGCTGGATCTTTTATTTTTTCTTTTCCTTTTCTTTTTCTTTAAAAAACAAAACAAAATAAAAAAATGCCCGAAGCAAAAACTTTTTAGGAGTAGTTACAGATTTTACAGGGCTGGGGGTGGGGGCACAAAACGAACGAGAAAAGCACCAGTGAGGTGTCCCCCCCAGTTTTCCCTCCGTCACGGGATACAGACAAACCAGCGAAGCCCGAGTCGCTCTTATGCCATCTTCCCTTGTAAAAAGGAGGAACAGAAGATCTTAAGAATTTCGAAAGGATTTTTTTTTTTTTGTGAGTGTGTGTAAAAGTCAATGCTATAAATCTAAAACGAGGTCTTTTTTTTTTTTTTTTTTTTCTCCTAAAACAACGGGAAGAAAACCCATGGAAAGAAACCGCTCGTGGAGACCTGCTTGATCATGGACTGAGGCTCTTGAAGGAGAATATGAAATGCAGAGGGCTCCTCCCGGGGGCAGGACCTGCCCTCTCTGTCGCCCTCCACTCCCCTGCCCTGCCCTGCCGTCACCCTTCTTCTCTCCTTTTAAAAAATAAAACCCCCCTCTCGTGACTCCGATCCTCCTGCGATCCCTGCTGGGAAGTGCAGCGGCTACTTGGCGTCCAGCTTGGCCATCTCCTGCACGTAGATGCCGATGCTCTCGCTGTCGAAGAGCAGGAAGTACACGTTCTTCAGCGAGGACGCGCTCGAGTCGTCGAAGTGGGCCGAGATCGCTTTGAGGGTCACCTGGGCTGCGGTCTGTTTGGGAAAGCAGTTTCTGTGCCAAGGCAAAAGAAGAGCTGGCGTCATTTCGGTCCCCGGGAAGGTCGCGTGGTGCCCTTGTTAACACTGCATGGGGCTGGATCGCAGTCGAAGGGACGGCGTGGGAGGGGCAGGCAGGGGGTGTCGTCCCCACTCATAAGTGCCACACTGACTCAGAGAGGTACAGTGATGGTAGCCAAGGTCACAGGGCTGGCAGGGGATGGGTACCCCGTATCTGAATCTGTGTCCCCTGACTCAAGTTGAACTTGGCTTTAAAAGGGCTAGCAAGTCAGCACTGAGAATTCCTGGTCTGCATAAATATAGGTTTTATTAGCTCCCTCAAAGCTAGTTTACATGCTAACCAGATGGCTTAGTAAAGGGCAAAAATGTACACTCAAAAGCTTGTCTTCATGATTCCTTTTTTTTTTTGAGACAAAGTCTTGCTTTGTTGTCCAGGTTAGAGTGAGTGCCATGACATCAGCCTAGCTCACAGCAACCTCAAACTCAAGCAATCTTGCTGTCTCAGACTCCCAAGTAGCTGGGACTACAGGCATTTGCCACCATGCCTGGCTAATTTTTTCTATATATATTAGTTGGCCAATGAATTTCTTTCTATTTATAGTAGAGATGGGCTCTTGCTCTTGCTCAGGCTGGTTTTGAACTCCAGACCTTGAGCAATACTGCCTGCCTCGGCCTCCCAGAGTGCTAGGATTATAGGTGTGAGCCACCGCGCCTAGCCTTCACGATTCCTTTTTCATGCACTTGCTATTTCTTTTATTGACTCCCACGCATGTGCCAGTGTACTTTCAGCAGCAGTGTCTCTGGGCAGGGCGGGCTGGTGAAAGTTTGCCAAGGCCCCAAGTGCCGGGGAGCTACTAATAGCATGTTCACCAGGCGGAGCCATGGCACCAGCCTCTAGGACCAGAGCCAGAGTGGTCATCTGGGGTCAGCCACCAAGACCCGTGGGGCAAGTCCAGGAGGGGCCTGCAGCCTTCCAGTCCAGAACAGCTCTGCCCATGCTCCCGCCTATGCCGGGATTCACCCTGCAGCGCCCGGGGCCTGGGCTATGGAGACCCAGCGCTGGTCGTTTAGGCTCAGATACGATGTCAGCAGGAACTAGGCCTCGCTGTTTCCCTCTCAGCCTGCCCATGACGTGGCTACAAGTCATAGCTATGTGATGGAGGGCCAGCTCTCAAGAAGAGAGGGTGTTCAAAATTAAAGCAAATAACTGCTCGGCCAGGAGCATGAAGGGAGAGGATGTGTTGCCTGTGAGAGCAGATGTCCTCGCTATGTTCCCGAAACATGCCCAGCTGGGGTCTGTGACAGCGAAACCTGTCACATCCTCCTTTTAAGCAAGTCCTCAGTGACAGCCTTTCGCTTCTCTGGGTGTGTTTCTCAAAGCCTCGGCCTCCTGGCGCTGCTGCCCTGAGAGCAGCAAGGGAATCCCCTGGGGATGCTGAAGCAGAAGGGCAGGCCTGGGCCTGGGATTCTGCATTCTGACCAGGTCACGTCCCTGCGGCTGGTCCACGGACCGCACTTTGAGTAGCAAGGCCTTCGAGCCCGGCATTTTCTGACCATGTGTTCTAGACATGGACACATGGTGGGAATGTGGACTTTGAACAAGGCAGGCTCTCAAAGAATAAGATGCCAGCTTGCCGCTGCCTCCTGCTCCTGCCTTGAGCTGCCTTCCTTCCTCCCTGGGCTTTGCCATTGAGGAGGCGGGGAGCTGGCCCCCTGCCAGGGAGACCTGCCGCTCTATGAGCCCGTGAGTTGGCTTCTCCGTGGGATTTGAAGGGTAGAAACTGGGTCTCCTGCTCTGTCACCTGGTCAACGTGCTTGGCTGTGCAGCTGCCCCTGGCCGTGTCTTCCGCAACGGCCGGGTCGGAAGGAAGTGGGGAGCCGCCGGTTCCCAGGGAGAGGCTGCAGGAATCAGCCCTAGAACCGCATCTTACCTGCCGCTGGGGAAAGGAGGGAACGCGACAGACTTTAGCTTCTTGTCCTCTGCGGCCGACAGGCAGTTTTTGATGGTCTCTTCAAGCTGTTCTTCACATTTGTCAGAGCCCCACTGAGGGATGTGACAGTGGATGACAAATTTGGCTGCAAGTCCACTGGATTGGCTGACGGCGGCTGGGACATGGGAGACAAAAAAAAAACAACACTGCCGGTTATTTCCTCAGTCTTCACCCTATGTTAGGAGGCTGGGCCGAACCTTCTCCGCCGGGGACAGGGAACTGATGGGGAAGCTGGCTGGACAACATGCTTCTGATGGGGACTGTGTCTGCCAGGGGGCAGGGGCTGTGTCGGAATGGCTCTAGACAACCAGCGTGCGCTTCGGATAAAAAATTAATGCTGATGGGACAACATGTCACTTTCACGTGGTCTGTCCCTGAGTTGGGCTGCCTCCTCACGGTGTTCCCTAGTCACAGCCACACTCCGAAATCCCCTCTGGTGGCTGTGGTCGGTTGAGGAATGACCTCCCCAATACATCCGAGTCCTAATTCCTGGGAGCTGTGGGTGCTACCTTACAAGGCAAAGGGACTTAGTAGATCTGATTAAGTTAAGGACCATGACTTGGGGAGGTGATCCTGGGTTAAGGGTGAGCCCTAAATATATCACCAGGGTCCTTATGAGAGAGGCCAGAGGTCAAGGCGATGTGATGACAGAGCAGAGATTGGAGAGACCCAGCCAGGAGCCAAGGAATGTTGCAGCCTAGAAGCTGGGAAAGGCAAGAACGGGATTCTCCCCTGAGCCTCTGGAAGGAACCAACCCTGCCTCAAGACCTTGGTTTTAGCCTTTTAAAACTCACTGTGGACTTCTGACTTCTAGAACTGCAGGATGATACATTTGTGTTGTTTGCAGCCACAGGGAATGAATGGAATGGCTTTTAAAAAGTAGGCGTGTCTGAGCCCGACCCCCAGGTATCCTGACTCAGGTGGTCTGGCTTAGGGCTTACCCTTCTGCAATTCTAGGACCCTGCATGAGTTGAGAACTGCTGAACCTGACTGTATACTTCCTTGGACAGGGATATATATATATATATATATATATATATATATATATATGTAAGGCTGGTGGGGGGGGGCGGGGTGCTCCCCTCCTTAGATCAAAAAGAAAAGGCTCACGAGACGAGACCTGCCAAGGACAACTGCCAGGTCCAGCTGAAAACAACAACACCTGAATGTCCACCCAGATAAGAAACTTTTCGGTTCCTGGATTCCGCAAATATGGATAGCCCTCCTATTTCTCAATAACCCCTATTTCTCAATAATCGCCGAAGGTCACAGTGGAAAACTCCCAGCTCTTCCCGCCAAAAGTCCCTAGCCTACCCCAAACAATATAAAGGCCCCACCCCCTCCAAATGTACATGACTGCTCGGGCTCCCTCTCTTGGGACCCAGGAACCTCGTCCGGGAGCGCTCAACAAAGCCATGTTATTTGGCCCTACTCTCTCTCTCGTTGTCTGCTTCTTTCGCCACTGGAAAACTTTACATTATATATATGTATTTTTGAGACAGGGTCTCACACTGTCACCTGGGCTAGAGTGCTGTGGTGTCATTATAGCTCACTGCAACCTTCAACTCCTGGGCTCAAGCGATCTTCCTCAGCCTCCTGAGTAGCTGGCACTATAGGTGCACGCACGCCACAGTGCTCAGCTAATTTTTCTGTTTTTAGTAGAGCCCTGTTTTTAGTGGTCCCGCCTCGGCCTCCCAGAGTGCTAGAATTACAGGTGTGAGCCACCGTGCCCTGCATGAGGGTTTCTCTTGATTTTCGAAACTTCTGAGGCTTCACCACAATGTGCCAGGTTTTGGATTTATTTTCATTAAATATGCTTGATATTTTCAACCTGAGGACTCATGTTGTGATATTGTGAACTATATATTTGGTCTTCATCCCATTTCCTGGCATTCAACTCCTAAAATCCCTGGAATCCCCAAAGTGCTTTTTGTTTTTATTTATTTTTTTAATTTTTATTTATTTTGAGACAGAGTCTCACTTTGTTGCCCAGGCTAGAGCGAGTGCTGTGGCGTCAGCCTAGCTCACAGCAACCTCAATCTCCTGGGCTCAAGCCATCCTCCTGCCTCAGCCTCCCAAGTAGCTGGGACTACAGGCATGCGCCACCATGCCCGGATAATTTTTTGTATACATTTTTAGTTGGTCAATTAATTTCTTCCTATTTTTGGTAGAGATGGGCTGGTTTCGAACTCCTGAACTTGAGCAATCCATCCACCTCGGCTTCCCAGAGTGCTAAGATTATAGGTGTGAGCCACCACACCTGGCCTAGTGTTGTCTTTTTGTTGGCTTATGTTGACGGATAGCTTCAGGGTAGGGCTGGTCACCAGAAAGACAAAGGCAGGATGAGAGGATTGTAGAGGATTGGGACTCTCAGCTTCAACCCATCCCACCAAGCTCCAGGGAGGAGAAAGGGCTGAAGGTCAAGTTGATCACCAATGGCCAATGGTTTAATCAATCACATCTACATTCTGAAGCCTCCATAAAACCCCAAGGGTACCAGGTGCAGAGAGCTTCTGGATAGCAGGACACGTGGAGGGTCCTGGAGGGTGGTGTGCCCAGGTGGGGCATGGAAATTGCATCCCTTCTCCCAGACCTCGCCCTATGAATCTCTCCATCCGGATCCTTTGTAATATCCTTTATAATAAACTGGTAAATGTGTTACCCTGGGTTCTATGAGCTGCTCCAGCAAATTAGTAGAACCCAAAGAGGGGGCCGCCGGAACCCCAACTTGAAACAGGTTGGTTCGGAGGCCCAGGCTTGTGACTGGCGTCTGAAGGTGGGAGCGGCAGTTTGGGAATTAAGCCCCGACCTGTGGAATCTGATGCCGCCTCCAGGTAGAGAGAGTCGGAATTGAATTGGAGGACAGCCAGCTGGCGTCCGCTGCGGACCGACTGTTCATTGGTGGTGAGGAGAACCCCCACGCCCCACCCCGTTCGGTCGCAGAGGTCTCCTGTGTTGATGATTGCTGTTGCTTTAGTGTGAGAGCAAAGGGAAAACAGGGTTTGAGTTCTTCCAAACAGTGTTTCCTTCTGGAAGATTCTCTCAGCTATGATCTCTATAATACTGCTTCTCTACCTTCTATTTTCTGCCTTTGGAACTCTGTTTAGAAGCGTGTTGGAGCCTCTCTGCGTGGAGCAGCTCTCTCCTCTTCCTGTCTGGTAGTTTGCTGGGGGCCTCCCTCGGCCCCCAGGCCGGCAGGCCAGGTGCAGTCTTAGGTGGATCTGGCCTCAGCCCTCTGTTTTGTGGTTCTGTAAGGGATGCGGTAGACCCAGGCCTGGCGCCAGTGGGCAATGGGACCCTGGGCTGGGTGTGAGGTCTGCCCCTTTTTGCTACCCTAGGAAGACGGATTTTACATGAGCTCTGGGTGGTGGCCAGAGCTTTGGCTTCCTGTACGGGCTGCTGGAGTCTTTCTAGTCCCTTGCGTTGAGCAGTGGTCCTGGCTGTGGTCACCTCCACGCGTGATGGGGCTCAGCATGTTTCTAGGCCTGTGGCCCAGGGTCCGGCAGCTGTGCAGTTGCAGCTGTGGCTCTTCTGTCCCTGTTCCCGCATACACTCGTCTTGTATTTGAGTGTGGCTCTTCCTTACAATTTTGAAAAAGAAGCTGCGTCTATCACCGCTACCCATAGGGGAGTGGTGTGTGCAGATCTGGAGTGTGGACTATATTCTCTCTCGGCCAGAAGCCCCCATCATTCTCTAACAGTCAACTCTAATCAAGACAGTCCTCTGCTTCAACTTTCAAGGTGGCCCTGCTTGGCCAGACAGGGTCAGATTCAGAGCTTTCCGGAGAGCCTGCGGCCCAGCCTCATTGTGGCTGTCATTTGTATCCTGAAAGCTGACCCAGGGCTCCCTGCCGTGTGTGACAGTCCTTGCACAGGTGGTCTCAGGCCCTTCCTGCAGTCCTCCCAGCCCCCCACGCTGAGGTCGTGGCTCCCCCTCTGTACCCCATTTATGCGCCTGAGGACATTTTTCTCTGAAGCCCTGGCTTTACTGCAGCCCTTGGCACCCACTGGGCGTATGAGGAGCGAACTGACTGGGGACTTTGTGTAGCTGGGAACACGGATCTGAGGTTTACATCCATTTGTCAAAAAGTTGCCCCAGTAGCTTTGGTGACACGTGTTCACATGAACCTTGTGCACACATGTTCCCAGCAGCTCTATTCACAGTAGCCAAAGGTGGAAACAACTCCATTTCCCACTGATGAGTGGAGAAACAAAATGGAATGTCGCTCAGCCATAAAAGGAGGGAAGTGCTCTTGCATGCTACAGCATGGGTGGACTTTGAAAACGCTACGGTAAGCGAAAGAAGCCAGACACAAAAGCTCCCACGATCTATAGTTCCATTTACATGAAATGTCCAGAATAGGCAGATCCACAGGGACAGAAAGGAGATTAGTGGCTGCCAGGCGCCGGGGTGGGGGGAGGGGGTGGGAAGGCCTGCCGTCTTAATGGGTAGGGGGTTCTGTATGAGGTGACATAAAAGCTCTGGAACTAGATAGTGATGATGGGGGCACGACATTGTAGGAATAGGTATTGTCACTGCATTATACACTTTAAAATGGTTTCAGCAGTACATTTTACGGTATGTGTATTTTACACCCACCCCCTCCCCCCAGCGTGCAGTGAACCCAGTGGCTCCAGACTATTTGGGGGAATCTCGTGCAAAATGACTTGAATTATCTAGACACATTATAGTCCCCAAAGTGCATCTGAAAGGATCCACGAGGTCTGCTCAAATGATCTGAGAGATGCTAAAACAGCTTTCTGATTCGCTAGGGCTTACTGTCTCAGAAGCTGAACGTGCAGGAGGCATGCGAGGGGCGGCGCCTTCCCACGCTGGCCGTAGGGCCGGATTCCACACTCACCTTCAGCAACTTCCAAGGGGCCTTGGGATTTGCGAAGCTCCTTTACTGTTTCCAAGAACTCTTTCCCCCCAGCCTTTTCCAAGGCTTTACCTGCAGAGGGAAACAATGAAGCCACTGTGGTTGTTCTTTCGATGTAATTATACCTTCTGACAAAATTCTTAGTAAGCCAGGGGAAAAAAAAAAACACTTAGAAATTAAGACTCAAACTTCCCACTTGTTATGCTGGTTTGCCAGTGGTCACCGGTGGCCGGGTCTCCGGGCCCCTGTCCAGCAGACTTAGACCAAGCAAGTGTAGCAAGTTGTTTCTTTAAGCTTTTTATTCATTTAGCAAACTGTAAAAGGACCTTTTTAGAGGTGACCTGACCAGAAAGTAATCTCATGACATGAGTTCCAAAAATGATTTTTTTTTTAAAAAAAACTGAGATTCCAGCATTGAGTTTTATGGGTTCAGTACCCGTGTTGAGAGCTCTGAAGTCCTGTTCCCATCTCAGGCCACCAACATATTGTAAGTCCTTGGGGTCAGGACAGACAGAGCCTGGAGTGTTGCTCCCCTAACCTAGGCTTCAATTTTCAACTGAAAAACAAAGAGATGTGAGAGGCTAATCTCCAAGGACTTTCCTGTTGGCAGACCCCTTGAGTCTTTGATGTTAGGGCAATTCCCTACTCAACAGCTTAGGATCCTGCTCCAACAGAGGCCAAGAGGGGCCCCCCAGGAGGTGGCAGGACTCCACTCTGGCCCAGCAGGAGTCCCCACCCCTGAGCACCAGGGGACCCAGCCCCTCTCCCCACACTCATGTCTCAGAGATGACATGTTCTATCCCAGGATGGCAGCTGCTCTTGGGCAGGAGATGAGGTGTTTCCACACGTGTATTTTCATCTTCTAAGGAACTTGCTGATCTGGAAGTCTGGGGCAAGTCTCAGCTCTCTCTCTTTGGTAATCATTATTATTATCAATATTAATACAGTTCAGAAGTTTCCCTAGAGCTGGGAGATAGAGCTTTCCCACTCCACACTCAGCCACTCAGATCTGTCTGGGGAGACACAATGCATCGTTTAGGACAAGTGTCTGTTCTATTAATAGCAGTCACTCTCCACTGCCGGTGGGCCGCGGGAGGGGGTTTCGTCATCAATGTGCTTGGGTTTCAACACCACAGCTGGGAAATGGGGACCACAGACTATGCCCAGCGCCGCCGGGTCTCCTTCCTGGCCCCCAGACTCCGGGCCCCTGTGACCTGCTGGGTGCAGAAGCCTGGAGAAGGCCGAGTAACCGAGGCTGGTAGCCGGCTCACGCAGAGAAGCAGGGAGATAGGTCTACACTGCCGCACTCTGCCCCCCTCTGCATTCAGGTCAGGGGCCCAGTGGGGTGTGGAGAAGGCCAAGCAAATCCACCCTCCTCACTGAAGACTGTTAAGAAGCAGGCAGCCTGCAGAGGCGATGAGGAAGTTTCTCTCTGTGCAGGCATTCCCATGAACAAACGAGGGAATGCTAGAATGAGAATATCACTGCTTCGCAACCCCTAACGAATAGAAAAATCGACGGGGTGTTCCAGAAGTCGCCATACATAGGGACTTTGTGAAATTTTGTAATGAAATTTTGTAAATAAAGGTACATTTAGCTACAATTTCCCATTTTCCCTAGGTATGGTGACCTGGGGACACCCTGTAGGGAAGGGGCATCCATGGCTGCTAGCCTCACAGGGAGACGCCGGCCAGGTGTGCCTGCCGGAGCGAGACGCCGCTGCCCTGACCCAGGAGTCTTGTCCAAAGGCTTTGAACCTGCACCTCATTAAACCTCTAGTCCAATTGCCAGTTTATATTATATACAAACAGGAAGAAACGTATTTAATGACACCAGGAGGATGCAATTAACAAATTCCAGACTGTGGGAAACCTACAGGACAAATGAGCCAGCTTCCTCGGCAAATAAATTGCAGGGAAATAAGAGAGAGAGGAAGGGGGACACTATGAGCTACAGGAGACTTTTCAACCAGTTGCCGTGTGTGGACTCATCTGGATCCTAAATCAAATAAATTTTTTATGATATATCATGTATGATATAATTAAATTGGAACACTGGTTATTTGTTGATACTCTTTTTTTTTTGTAAGGTATGATAACGGCATTGTGCTTATGTTATTAAAAATAGCCCTTAGCTTTTAGAGATCGTTCTGAACTAGCCACAGAGAAAATGAAATGATGTCTGGAAATATGTGGGGAAGGGAAGAGCTGAAACAAACTTGGGCATGGGTGGTGAGTATTGCATCTAGTTGGGTAGGGTTTCGTTATACTTTTTTGCTGTTTTTGTGTATGCTCAAACTGTAATAACATAATGTTTGAAGAAGAATAAATCTGGGCCTTAGCTGCATGGGATGGTTGGCTTGGGAGATGGTGGTGGAGAAACATCTCATCATGGGAGGGCTCATAACATCACAGCAGTGATGGAAAAGACAGCTGATGGTTAAGGCTCAGGGGCCCAGCGCTGTGCTAGGCCCATGCATGTATCATCAATTCAATCGTCACCGCACCCCTGTGGGACAGGTACTATTGCCATCCTCACCTACAAAGAAGGAGACAGAGATGGGGGGCGGTGCTAAGAAGCCTGCCCAACGTCACATAGCTAGGAAGTGATTCAAAAGCTGGGACACAGACCAGACAGACCCAGAACCTGCTCTTCTAACCACCTGGCCACCTTTCAGCCCATTTCAAGATCACGCTGCTGGGAGCCGGGCTGGAGTTTTTGCTCTCGTATCAGTCCTCTTTCTACTCTACCATGGTGCTATTTACAAAAACAAAGAAGTATCTTTGCAGTTTTTCTGATATAAAAGTGTGAACACTATAAGAAATGTGTAAAGTAGGAACAGTGCAACTTGTTTTGTAAGAAGTTAGGACACCTATGCAGCGGTCGAGATTGAGGCCACCAGGGGTGTCTTGAGGCCTGTTTCTCCGTGATGCTGGTTTTCCCCAGTGCTGTCCTATCTCCTGTTCAGCACAGCAAGTGGCCGCCGGGCCAGGACGGAACCATGAGTAAGTCCAGGAACCTGGGCCCCCTGGTGCTACCACCAGGGCTGAATGACTAGCACCTGTATCCCAGGGACAAAGCCCTTTCTTTGCTCACTTTACCCTTTCAGTGAAGAGTTTAAGGCAGTTCTGTCTGGTAAAAATGGACAAGATAGTGACTTTTTTTTTTTTTTTTTTTGGTAAAGATGAGGTCTCGCCATGTTGCCCAGGCTGGTATTGAACTCCTGGGCTCAAGCAATCCTCTGGCCTTGGCCTCCCAAAGTGCTGGGATTACAGGTGTGAGCCACTGCGCACCTGGCCAGAGGTGGTGACTATCATTAACCTGCTGTTGTTTCCAGTGACCCTGACAGCTTCCCCTCCAAGCTCCTCCACCCTGCCTAGTAACGGCTTCCCCCACTCAGGGGACAGGTGGCAAACCACTGGTAAAATAACGATGATCATAGCTTTACAGAAGACTTAATTTTTTCTAGATGTCCATTTCCTGTTTTTCCAATGCCATTCTCAATATTTAACCTTAAAATATATGTGAAGTTTTATCCAGAACATGTACAACAGTATTTACTGTAGCACTACTCATGATAGCCCTCCCTAGAAACTACCCAGCCACCATCAATGGTGAAATAGACCAATAAACTGTGGTGTGTTTGTGCAGCATAATACTACACAGCAAGGAAAATGAATGAACACAACACTGTGGATGGATTTCACAAATGCTGAGTTAAACAAAAGGAGTCAGACACAGAAAAGTATATGATTTCATTTTTATAAAATTCAAAGCAGATGAAGCCCATTTATGCTGTTAGAAGACAGGCTGGTGTTTATCTTTGGAAGGGATAATGACCAGAAAGGAGGAGGAAGGGACTTCTGGGGTGCTGGCGGGGGTCTGCTTCCAGACTAGGTGCCAGTTGCACGGTGGTGTTCACTTTGAGACAAATCCATCAAGCTATACACTAATGATCTGTTTTTATATAAAACCTCAATATAAATTTCAAAAAATATATGCAGGATTAAAACAAAGTTGGTTACTCTCTAGCAGAGCAGTTTAATCACACACAGGGACAGAGTTTGACATGGGACCCCAAGCCCTGGGGTAGCCAGTTGACGACGAAAAGCGGGCTATTCTATGACACCTCTACCCGAGTCTCAGGACCTTACCTATGTCTTCCTTGAGGTCAATTTCGGCTGTGGTTGGGTGAACAATGCCCTCCACTCTCATGGAGCCAATATGGCTGATGTCACTCTGGGTCAAGGACAGCTGCATTAGGAAGAAAACGTGGAGAATATGAAAAAGGTCAAATCCCATTGAAAAATCCTACATTTTACCTGACACCCATTGCTTCTCTGTAATTATTCACACCAAATATAAACACGAAGGCTGCACATAGAGCAACAACGTCAAGTCTCCTGGGTGTTTGTTTGGTCTTCCATAGGCTCCCTGAGCTCAGGGGATTTGATCTTCACCTTGAGGCTAGCAGTATGCAACAATCTGCCTCCTCTTCCCTGAAATGAGAACAGGACCTCCCCTCTTCTTTCTGTCCCTTGCAGCTTATGCCTTGGGTTCCAACCCTGGTGGCCTTGGTTTTAGGTGATGCATCCTCTGAGCAGCTCCTGCATGGGAAGCTACGCCGCGGAGCAGCACAGAACATTTGGGGCAGGGCTCTGAAGCCACTGACCTTGCTGGAGAGAAGCAATGGGCTCTGAGATTCCAACCTGCCAATGTCTGGCCACCTTGCCCTTTGGGGACTGCATTCTGGGGGCCACCCTTGGGATATGCCCTATGTGTTCGTAGCAGAGTGGAATGGAGGGCATTCTCCATTGTTTGCCCATGGGAGCAGGAACTTTGTGTTCTCCTGGCTAAGTCAGAGACAGTTAATTGTCATGGAACCGTGGACAGTCCCGAGAGTGGACATAAATTTCACCTCTTTGCTTCCCTGCTTTCACCAATGATGAATTAGGAACCTGCTACATTGATGCTCTTCTTAGAATGTGCTCTCCCAATTGCTTGTATGGAGGGTCACTCTATTGTTAGGCTGCAAACATGAGGCTACCAGAGCTATGATTAACTGACTATTTCCTGGTGGTATCTTATTTCAGCCCCAGTTGACTTGGTAGATTAATCGCCTGCTCGGTAAACTTCACACTCGCAGGCATGAATTATTTGCATCCCTGGCTGGGCTGCTGCTGTGTTGCTGAAGACCGTTGAAATGTATATCCCCGTTTGTTTTCTTTCTGCAGCCTACGAAGGCAAGCCGGCTGAATTATTGGCAAATAATTCATGTCTAACACCAGGGACATTCAAGAAACATATTTCTATTTTCATTCTTTGATAAATTACACCGAACCAAGCAAGATGTAGGCCTCTCAGAATCTATTTTAAAGTTAGCTATGGATTTTTTGGGTAGGCACAGAAACAACTGGGTGTAGGGAATTCCCAGCAAAACCAGTAGCGACAGACCGGAAAGATTCTCTACGTTTACCTTTGGCTGACCAATGCCAGCATTAACAATTTTCAGCACCAAAGTGCTTGATCAATTTCACAGTGCAGAAATTGCCATAGCTCTTTAGTGTAAAAATGAGTAATTCAAGACTAGAGTGAAAGTCATATAAGGGGGAGCAAGGGATAATGGAGGCATCATTGCTTGTAAATGGTAGGTTATAAAAGTATAATAGTGTTTCACTACAGCACGTTGCACTTCTCTTTATTACCTTCTGCCCCAGAACAAGGCTCTTAGAAGACAGGATGGTGAATCCATCCCCTGGCCCATCTTCGGAGGTGGAATTTGAAGTTCCTTCTTTATCGCTGTCCTTTGGTTTGGACTGTTGGTAGAAATCAGAAGGACGGATGAGAACCAATCCAGAAAAAGCCCCCTGTGGCTTTATTAAGCTCTTCCCATGGCTGCCACCCACTTGGATGCGAAGGGGAACGGTTAGGCATTATGTTCTACTGTTTCTTGTTGGAGGGAAGCAAGGGAGAGCAACATAAGGAAAAGAAAAGGGAACTGCAAAATATAAACTGTGTAGTCCACCCAGACTTGGACACAGGTACCTTAGTCTTGCTCTTTTCAATGCCGGCAGCTTATGCTGACAAACATCAGAGCCCAGAGGGGCTGTGCAGGGCCCAATGCCTTACCTCCCTCCTCCCCAGGATTTCCCTGGGGCACAGTGGCAGTGGAGTGAGCTCTTACATGATCCCCCCCCCCACCTTTTTAAAATAGGGTCTTGCTCTGTCACCCAGGCTGGAGTGCAGTGGGCTGATTAGAGCTCACTGCAGTATCAAACTCCTGGGCTCAAGCGATCCTCCTACCTAAGCCTCCCAGGTAGCTGGGACTACAGGTGTGGGCCACCACATCTGGCTAATTTAAAAAAATTTTTAGAGATGGGGTCTTGCTATGTTGCCCAGGTTGGTTTCAAACTCCTGGACTCAAGCGATCCTCTCAGATAGGCCTCCCAAAGTGCTGAGATTACAGGCATGAGCCCCCATGCCAAGATTCTTACATGATCTTTTGTGTTATCATGGAGGTCTGGTGGAATGAAAATTTCACAACCTCAAAAGCAGCACTGTCAATGGAACTTTCTGTGATCTTAGAAATGTTCTGTCTGTGATCTTCAGTGCGACTAAGTAATTGAAATGCGGCTAGTGCAACTGATGAGCTGAATTTTTAATTTGATTTAACTTCAATTCAAGTTTAAATAGCTACATGTGACTAGTGGTTACTGCACTAGGCAGCATATGAAGATATTATCCACAAGTGGCATCTCTGAGCTAAGCTACTCAGCACATCAAGCTATCCAGAACACCTGAAATGCCACTGGCTGAACTCAGAGGACTACCTGAGAGCTTGTTTAGTGTGCAACATGGAGTTCTGCAGAGCAATAAAAAACAGGCTCTAGGCTATCATCTCTCACTTAAGAATTTTTTGGGGAGGGAAGGGCAGTAAAAGGAATCTGAAGACCCCATGCTTTGAGTTTGGAAATCTCTAGAAGATCCTGTTTGATGATTTGGGCTCGAATCTCAAAGGCCCTCTATTCTACATACGCATTCTTGTCATTTTCTCCAAAATCCAAGCTGCAGAGAGTCCCCAGTCCTTCAGAGGTGCCATTGTTTCATCTTTAAACCTGCCTCTTGTTCCATGGGTGTCTTAGTCCCTCTGGGCTGCTATACCAACATACCACAGACTGGGTGGCTCGTAAACAACAGAAACCTATTTCTCACGGGTCTGGAGGCAGGAAGGCCTCAAGGTCAGATGCCTTGTCTTGGGGAAGGCCTGCTTCCTTGCAGAGATGCCTCCTAACCGTGTCCTCACATGGCAAAGAGGCAAACAAGCTCAGCGCCTGGCCTCTTAGAAGGGCCCTAGTCCCAGTCACAGGGGCTCTGTCCTCATGACTTGTCACCTTCCAAAGGCTCCACCTCTTAATACCATCAACTTGGGGTTAGGTTTCAACTTAGGGATTGGGATGGGGGGGATACCAATATTTAGACCATAGCAGCGGGAGGGCCTGGGCCATGAAACAGCCTTGACTCACCTTTTTGGACGTCCTTGGCTTGGCGGCCTTGGATTTCTTGCCTCCCTTCTTGCCTGACGCGGCCTTCCTTCCTCTCTTCTCTGGGGGCGGGGAGAGGATAGTTTCCGACTTGCCTTTGGTCCCTCGCTTTTTGGCCAGCAGTTCGGGGTGAATTCTGGGCAGGACGCCTCCACTGGCAATGGTCACTCCTTTTAGCAGCTGAAGAGACAGAGGCATGAGCTCGAGCAGCAAACAGCCCGCTGGTTCTGGATTTCATACGGTTCTAACTGTCGGCAAAACAAGGCTTAAATCTGCTCTTTGCTTTCCCAAAGAAATTGCGTAATACACGATTTAATTGGCTTCCCCCTCCTTCAGTTGTAGAGCGCTTCTCTGTAGGTATCAAGGCATCCCGTGATGTTGTACAGAAAGCAAAACAAAACAAAGCAAAATAAAAGGGTTGTAGAAGCTGGAACCAGGGATGTTGCCCAGGGCTCTGGAATTCCAGACACAACAGAGGATAAAGAGCTTCACATGTGGGGAGCCCAGCTTGACAAAATTAGGTTCAAAGGTTAACGCAAAGACTAGACCCAGTTAATGAGAGACCAGTGGTGTCCTCACTCTTGGATGTGTATTCCAACAGTAAAATATGTTTGATCATGCACTTCCCAATTGATACATGTTTATTTATTTGTAAATAATTGACAGGTACTGCTACACGAATATATTCTGCATATTCTAAAGCAGTGCTACCCCAAGCGTGGTTTGTGACCATGGCTCTCCATGAATGTTACCCATCTGTGACAAGGTAAGTACAGACAGCACGAGTAAGAGTCTTGAATCTTTTACGGCAAGTTGACAGAGTTGCTCTGCATCTATTGATCTGATAAAAAATTGTGGCTTATAGTTTGCCCTTGTTTTTATGTTTTTCTAGTAATTAATTTTTATTACATTTTTCTGAAGTTACCAGTCCATGATAGATTGGCAACACGAACTGATTCTTCACTACAGTTTGAGACGAATGAGAATAGAAAATTACTATAAATGAAAATAAATAGAAATAAAAATTCTTATACTATTCACCCACTGCCTTGCCTATCTTAGGGTAGAGAGGGAGCAGTCACTTGACGTTGGAGTCAGTTTCAAAATATAAAGGGTCAGTTCTAATATATAAGGAAGGATTCTCTTGCTCTCATTAGAAAAAATTATCAACAAAGTTTGGGCAAAGAAGTTGTGAAGAGACCGTGTGCTAAGCCTTCCTCAGCAACACACAGAACTTGTCTTTAAAGAGGAAAGGAAGGTCTGGAAAGACCTAGAATATATAATGGGATCTGTTCCAGAGGGAATTTTATTTCGAATCTGAATTATATAGCTAGCAGAATTTGTTCTTTTATGTGGTCTGAATTGTTTTGTGCAGATGTGTTTGGGAACAGCAGCAGGAATGACTCGTGGCCAGCCAGGTCCACATGCAGGAGCATGTTTGGCAAAGCCCTTCTGCGGCATGTCCCAGTGCTTCAGACGTACCTGGTTGAGCTCCTCGTCATTGGCTACTGCCAGCAGGATGTGTCTCGGGGCTATCCGGGCCTTCTTGTTGTCCCTCGCGGCATTCCCAGCCAATTCTAGGATTTCCGCTGAAATCACAAGGGGGTATTAACAGGCCATCCCATAATGGGACCTGGGTTTTCTAAAGCCTTCAACTTTGATCGCATTTATTCATTTATGATTTTTATGCCTGGGCCTACAGAGAAATCCAGGAAGCTGGAAAGATCTAGGCTCACAGACAGGTACGATATTTCAGCGAGATGATGCTTGATCTGGTGGCAAACTCTTCTAGTCGTCCCTCAACATGAACTCTCCTTCCTTAGCCCATGGGCCCCTGCGTCTTTGCCGAGCCCATCACTGCAGGAAGACTCTATTTCCCACCCTCCTGTGTTGAAAAGTGTGGTCATGTGGCCAAGTTCTGGCCCACGGAAGGCAAGCGGCGGTGCCGTATGCATGGGAAGGGTGCCAGTGAGTCGGCCGTGTCCCTCCGTTGCCACTGGCAGACTGAGGACACGATGGCTGGAATTCGAGCAGCATCTTTGGCTAATGAGAAGAAGTTGTGGGCGACCGAGCGACAAAATAGAAGGAGACTTTAGTCTCCTCACCAATCTAGACTGTCTTTTCTAGACTTCTTTGGTACGTGAGTGAAATAAACACTAATGTTCAAGCCACCGTCAGCGGAAGTCAATCCTGATCAATAAAGAATCCTAATATAGAACCTGAATTTTTTTTCAGTCTACAAACGGCAGGGCCGTCTCTGAAGAGAAGAGTGGTGTGGGTAAGTCTGTCTTTGGTACCCATTGGTATTCCTTTTAGGCTTCCCTTTTCCCATTGCTTGATGCCTCAGGTCCCTGCTGTCCTAGAGGAAGGGGACGGGAAGAGCTGATGTACACTGTGCCAGGAGGAAATGCTCAGCCCAGAAAGGGAATTCCTAAGGCGGGTGCCCGAGACTCCTGGCAGGAGGGCATGTTCTATAGCCCTCAGGACTTAATAACGGCTGTGACTTTAACAAACACGCCATTTGGTAAATGTGAAAAATTCATAAAAGGGAATTTTCCTAAAGCTATTTCACATGCCATCAATATAATATTTGGGGTCAAAATTTTAAAAAAAAACAAACTGTTGCATTGATTTCTACCATCTGCATGCTTTTCCCCTTCCTCCTCTGTCTTATTTTGTTCTTTTTCTTTCTTCCTCAATTTTAGAGGGATGTTCTGCTACGTCAAATTTGTCTGCCTTCAAAAGCATGAATGAGCCTTTAAAGAAAAATTCCTTCCCTTAGAAAGCTGGGGGCAATGTGCCAATGTGTTGACTCACTGAGAATAAAGGGAAAAAAGTGTGTGTACATGCATCTGCATGAATGTACGGGGTGTGTGTGTGTGTGCGCGTGTATGCAGGCACGTATGTGTGCGTGTGCGGAGGGTGAGCTAGTACAATGGCATAAACACTAACCCCTAAAATTAATGAGCGATTCAGTACGAGTCTTTACAATCAACCTCATTTCCAATAAAATCACACGAAATTGCCATCATTCATGAAAATCTACAGCAAGAATAAAAACTTGGCATAAGTATGCCATATTAACTAAGCAAATGTGATTAACAAAAAATAGAGTAAAATAAACATTGGAGTTAAATATTTATACGGCATTTTCACAATGAAAAAATGCTAAATCACTGCAAATACATTCTCACATCTTTTCCAGATTATTGAGCAATGAATGTTGTGTTTACCAACAATTCATTTACACAGTGACCGCGTTTTCTGAATCAAAGATTGGGGCGCTGTGGTTTGAGGAGCGTGAGCATACTTGTTGGGACAGTGGGAGATTTGAAATTAATGCCGTGTTAGATAATCGGGTTTGCTGCCTTCAGGTTGTTGCCCAACCAGTGTTGGTTTACATTGTGTACAAGATGGAAGGACAAAGACTCTCCCAAAATAATATGTGTGAGCTTTACAACATCCCTTTTGGCTGAAGAAATCATTCTTTTTACTACCCATATTCAGCTGTATTCCAGATGGAAGTGTGACTTTTGAGAAGTGAGGGGTTTGCTACAGAAGTCTCTACTGCTTAAGGAATAATGATCTTCCTACAAAATCTGCAGTGAAACAAATTTGTGCTGTGTAAATCCAGTTTTCCTATTGACTGCCAATATAAAGGATTTGGCAGGATTAATAAAATCCCCGAGATCAATACAAACACTCAAGAATGCAGCAAACTTTTGCAGCTCGTGTGGCTATATTTGCCACCATAACACCTGAAACTCGTAATGATGATTAATGTTATTTCAAACATTTAAACAGGGACGTCCCTGTCCAAGGATGTCCAGACTAAACATCCAAAAGAGAAGAACGACTTGCTCCAGATTTTCTGCTTGTGTTATTTTTGTTAAGAAGTTTTTCTCTTTGAAGAAAAAAGTCCTACCTCTGCTTTTGCACTAGAACACAGAATCAAGGTTTGCTTTGTTATAAATTCCAGCAGCAGGGTAGTTCAAGAGGCCAGTGGCATGTCCACCGAGCGTCACCTGCATGCCCTGATCCATGCTGCACACTGAATCTCAGCCTTCAGTTTTGTCGGTGCTGCATTTGGTTCTGGCAGATTTTTCATCTTTGCATCTGTGTCTCAAGCTGCAAATAACCTGACCTTCTTCCGGGGCTTCCTGAAGGCTTCAATTAGCCCTGCCTCTCAAGCTGATGGTTAATTTGATGAACTTGGGGAGGGCGCTTAACTTCTTCCACTAAGTGCCGGTAACAGGAGGCAGGAAAGTGATGGTCCAAGATGCTAAATTCAATTCAATTGCTCAGAAGCTTAAAACTGGGGGTAGGGGGCTTCTTGATCCCCACAACCATCTAGGAAAAGGGATGAGTGGAGTGCTCCTTCCCCCGAGGTGCGGGCCCCAGAAATGACAGTCCCCTGAAATGAGCAGGTGCCGCAAACTCTCCGGAATCATGCACAATGGGGAGCTGTACACTTTAACTTAGAGTCACGAAGCAAGTCTGTTTGTGAAAGCTTTAAAACTCTGTTTCTGGCCGGGCGCGGTGGCTCACGCCTGTAATCCTAGCTCTCTGGGAGGCCGAGGCGGGCGGATTGCTCAAGGTCAGGAGTTCGAAACCAGCCTGAGCAAGAGCGAGACCCCGTCTCTACTATAAATAGAAAGAAATTAATTGGCCAACTAACATATATATACAAAAAATTAGCCGGGCATGGTGGCACATGCCTGTAGTCCCAGCTACTTGGGAGGCTGAGGCAGGAGGATTGCTTGAGCCCAGGAGTTTGAGGTTGCTGTGAGCTAGATTGTCACCACGGCACTCACTCTAGCCTGGGCAACAAAGTGAGACTCTGTCTCAAAAAAAACAAAAAAAAAAACTCTGTTTCTTTTTGTTGAAGAAAAAGAATCGTTTTGATTCCAGCCCCCAGGAAACAGGATAAACCACATTAAATGTAGGGTTGGGGCAGGGACACGGAGTGACCACTCCTTGAAGACTCTCCTTCCCTGGCCCCTTCCTCCTTGCCCACTTGCCCTCTTGCCCCCGGGGCTCTGTCTGTGCTCTCTGCTTTGCTTGGGCCACAAAGGCTCCAGGGAAGTCCCATCCGGTATTTCTAAAATACAAATGCAATAATGCAAATCATTAGATAACAAAAAGCGTGGTGTTAAGTGGAGAGACCCAATTATGTGGGAATGGTGTGTAAATAATGGGTCTCTATGTTACACTGTGATTTCATCAGATGCCCTGAAATTCAACCCTATTTTAAGATCTACTTCTTCTTCTTCATTTTTTACTACTTCTACATTTTTCTACTTCTTCTTCTTCTTCTTTTTTTTTTTTTTTTTTTCTACTTCTTCTTCTTCTTCTTTTTTTTTTTTTTTTGTGAGACAGAGTCTCACTCTGTTGCCTGGGCTAGAATGCTGTGGCATCAGCCTAGCTCATGGCAACCTCAGACTCCTGGGCTCAAGCGATCCTCCTGCCTCAGCCTCCCGAGTAACTGGGACTACAGGCATGCACCACCATGCCCGGCTAATTTTTTCTATATAGTTTTAGTTGGCCAACTAATTTCTTTCTATTTTTTTAGTAGAGATGGGGTCTTACTCTTGCTCAGGCTGGTCTCCAACTCTTTTTTTTTTTTTTTTTTTGAGACAGAGTCTCGCTTTGTTGCCCAGGCTAGAGTGAGTGCTGTGGTGACAACCTAGCTCACAGCAACCTCAAACTCCTGGGCTCAAGCAATCCTGCTGCCTCAGCCTCCCGAGTAGCTGGGACTACAGGCATGTGCCACCATGCCTGGCTAATTTTTTCTATATTAGTTGGCCAATGAATTTCTTTCTATTTATAGTAGAGATGGGGTCTCGCTCTTGCTCAGGCTGGTTTTGAACTCCCGACCTTGAGCAATCCTCCCGCCTCGGCCTCCCAGAGAGCTAGGATTACAGGCGTGAGCCACCTCGCCCGGCCTTGGACCTACTTCTTCTGTCAGTTAAAAATATATCACAGAACACCTTCTCACCGTAAAATGATTACAACTAATTCATTCTCAATATCTTACATTTATACTCTATCCATTGCTGATAAATATTAATACAAAATACTTTTCCAGAATTCAAGGCTGTTTTTTGGCTCCATTTTTCCTTGCTTACGCTGGGGAAGTGAACTGGTCAACATTATCGCAGTTCTATAGGTCAAGAAACCGATGTATGAACGTGGTGGCCATTCTGGGAGGCTTCAGCATGTTAGAGTCAGCATGTGGGAGATGAGCAGTCAGGCACGCATTCCTCACACCGGGGCTGGGAACACCACGTGGCTCTCACGGCAGATGCCGGGCTAGCTGGGCAGCCAGTCCAGAGGATCGGGCAAGGCAGATGCTATCTGGCCTGGTGTCGCTGGGAATTTGTTCATCCTCTTGCCTGACTGTTCCCAGCCTTTTCTTCCTGGCCATTCCTGTGGCGCCAAGTTTCCTTCCAGAGGTAGTGGGTGGCAGAGAGGGCCTTCAGAAACCACAGACAGGAATCCGAGGGGAGGGTGAACTGGCCAGAGGAAGCCCGCTGATGGTGGCCCGGCTGGCTCCCAGGACATCAGCGGGAAAATCCCGGTTCACTTGGGGGCGAATAGCACAGAGATTTGGGCAGGAGGGGAGAGCTGAATGCTGTCACTTAAACAATGTTATGCAGGTCACCTAGGAGAGGCTGTGCCTGCATGTAAGAGGCGGTGTCCACAAGACTCTGATGTCCCCACAGGGGACGCTGTGGTGTATCCGTCTGCTCTCAGTAACCCTGCCCCTTCTGGGAGCTGGAGCCCCCTGACCTGGGCTCAGAGCCTCCAGCCTGTTCGGGGGTCCCCGGAGGCCCGGCTTTCCTGCCAGGCTCCTTGTCGCCATATCTCTGGCCTTGCTCCCTCCGGCAGGGGCGACGCCTTGCTGGTGCCAGGAATCCCTCTGGTGGTCTGGTGAGGTCCAGAGACCTCTTTTCAGAATAAGGTGTTTTTTTAATTTTAATTTTTGTGAGACAGGGCCTTGTTCTGTCGCCCTGGCTAGAGTGCAGTGGCATCATCCTAGCTCACAGCAACTTCAAACTCCTGGGCTCAAGCAATCCTTCTGCCTCAGCCTCCTGAGTAGCTGGGACTACAGGCTCATATCACGATGCCTGGCTAATTTTTCTATTTTTAATAGAGATGGGGTCTCTTGTTCAGGCTGGTCTTGAGCCCCTGACCTCAAGCGATCCTCCCCCCTCAGCCTCCCAAAGTGCTAGGATTACAGGTGTGAGCCACCTCACAGTAATATTACGAGCAGTAGAGGCATGAGCCCACGGGTTCATAGCAGGTGAACAACAGAGCCAGAATGCAGGCTCAGGCCTGGCTGAGTCCAGCGTTCCTGCCCACTCTGCTCCCCTGGATGTCTTATCAGCACGAAGCTCAACAGATCCACGCCGAGCCCCTCCTCCTGCAAGCCGTTCCTGCCCACTGTCCGCCACTTCAGCTGCGGGCACCATTCTCCACCCACCAGCTGCTTTCCTCTCTCTTCTTCCTCTTGGTCAAACTCCTATGTCCATCTCCAACCCTGGTGACCGAGTGCACATCTCCATCCTCAAGCCATGGCAGAGGGGCCTGAAAGAAAGCAGCTGGTCCAGCCCCGCAGGCTCCGGGTCCTCCTGGACACCCTTGCCCACCGATCTAGCCTGTCATGGAGCAGAGCTGCCTGGCCTCCAGAACACTCCCAGAATGTCCCCTTCTCCCCATCCCACTGTGCGCCGCTGGTTTCCTGGGTACTCTCTGCTCTCCAGTGACACTAAAACAGCCTCCTGCCCCCCCCACCCCCGGCCCCCCGTCTCCTGGACTCTGATCTTGCTCCCCGACAACTGTTCTCCACCTAAAGCCAGAGCGATGCCCCAAATGCCTCCTCCTCCCTTTGAGGGCTCATGTGTGCGTGTGTGTGTGTGTGTGTGTGTTTGTGTGTGTGTGTGTTTGTGTGTGTGTGTGTGTGTGTGAGAGAGAGAGAGAGAGAGAGAGAGAGAGAAATGTGCACATCCTCAGTGTGGCTTTCAAGGACCGTCACAGTCTGGCCCCTGCCTCCTGGCTCCCATTTCACCTTTCACCCCTCCCAGGCACATGGAACTTCCTCCAGTTCCTGGAAAGGGCCATGCACTTCCTGCAAACTTTGGGGTCTTCCCCGTCATCCCCACCTCCTTGACCATCTTCCCCCAACCCAACTCTTTCCCCATCCCACTCGAGCTGACTCCTACCAATTCCCCACCAGCTGCCCATCAGAATCACATGGGGCGGGGAAAGCTTTTAAGAATCCCAATGCCCAGAAAAGACTCCAGAATCTCTGGGGAGCAGGACCCAGGCATCAGGATCTGAAATCAGTCGACTTGAGAAAAAGCAGGGCGGAGAACCTGGCTTAGGTCCGACAACTCTTGCTTTACATAAGCAGAGCCCTCTCCCCGCCTGCTCTTCCCAAACTTCCTCCGGCCTCCTGCCCATCTTACTGTGATGGCTCGAATGCTAGTCCTCTCTGCTGGGCTGTAAAGCCAGAAAGGCAGAACCTTCAAGTCCTGATCCAAAGGAGGCACTCAGTCAAGATCTGTCTCATGTATAGGAAAGTCATTTCAAGGGTGACAGGTGGCTACCACCCTGGGAACTCACTTCCCCAGACAAAATCAGTTGATGGCCCTTCAACAAACAAACACAAATAGATTAACCAACCCCCCACTTCATTTACTCAAGAGTGGCCTGTAATTCCATTAATAAGATTCATTCCTTTGAATTAAAACTCCTTATCTCATTAAAATGCAAATTCAGCCTGAAAACACACCACCTTAACAGAATTAGTCATTTACTTTCCCTTGAATGATTTTATCAGCTCTTAATAGAGAGGAGAGGGGAAGAATGACCATTCATTGAGTGCATCCTGTGCACCAGCCTTTTGACATACACGGGCTCACTGAATCAGGTTAAAGGCGCTAGCTCTGGAGACAGCTCAAGCTCAGGGAGGTTAAGGCAACAGATCTGGTAAACTGGTAAATCCGGATTTTAACTGACATCTAAGCCTCTGCTCTCTCAACTCCAGCCTGCGTTTGGAGGGGAGAAAAGACACAAGAAGGAAACGACAGGCCTGGGCTTCAGAAGGCCGACTCCACCTCCTCCTCCATGTGGCCCGTATGTGCTGGACTCGGAGACCTGCCCCAAGGCAGGTGCGTTCTTGGCAATGGCATCCTCTGACATGGACTTAACGGGTTGTTTTGAAGCTTCATATATACCTTTCTCAAAGTCCCTCTCCTCCCTTCCTGGGAGATTTTCCCATCAGATTGCTGGGTCCCACCCCAGACCGAGTGAATCAGACCCCCTGAGGGTACGGCTGGGAACCCACATTCTAAGCAAGCATTCCCCAAGTCCTTAGGCTGGCGGCTGAAGACTGGCTACGGTCTTGCTACTCACAGTGTGGTCCTGGGACCAGCAGCAGCAGCACCTGGGAGCTCGTGAGAAAGCAGAGTGTCAGTTCCCACCCCAGCCCTTGTCAACAAGATGCCCTGGTGACCCACGCCACTTTGGAGTATAGCACTTGAGAGGATTCAGTTTCAGAGCCCTCCAGCCCTCTCTGCAGCCCCCCAAAGCACCCGAAAGCCTTTTAGCCCAGGAACAAGCCTTTCAGTTCACAAGAGACAGGCTCGAGATGCCGAGGTCTGCCTGATTGAAACGCCAGGGAGGAGAACGTTTCCATGCGTGGGGTCAAGGCAAACCTCTCATCAATAAATGCTGACTTGGCCGGGCGCGGTGGCTCACGCCTGTAGTCCTAGCTCTCTGGGAGGCCGAGGTGGGCGGATTGCTCGAGTTCAGGAGTTTGAAACCAGCCTGAGCAAGAGCGAGAGCCCGTCTCTACTATAAATGGAAAGAAATTAATTGGCCAACTAAAAATATATACAAAAAATTAGCCGGGCATGGTGGCACATGCCTGTAGTCCCAGCTACTCGGGAGGCTGAGGCAGGAGGATCGCTTGAGCCCAGGAGTCTGAGGTTGCTGTGAGCTAGGCTGACGCCACGGCACTCACTCTAGCCTGGGCAACAAAGTGAGACTCTGTTTAAAAAAAAAAAAAAAAAAAA